TTCCCACCCTGTGCCAGCACTATGTCACTGTGTCCCTTGCCTGCCTCCAACCCTACCCTACCAGCTGCCAACCAGCACTCTAGTTTGCTAGTGACAATAGTGGCAATAAAGGGGAGGAGTAGAAGTTGTAACCCCGAGTCCTTGTATTAAGAGACTGTATCTTGGAACCCCCCAAATATTCTTGGTCACATAGGCCCTGGTCCTGTCTCCCTAGAGATTTAATTCCATTCACCCTTGGATATATTCCTGGAGAAACATTTACACAGTAATATGTGCTGCACCACTTAAAATTGTTAATTGGGGATTGAATTACTTGTCAGCTTTTAAAAATGTAGTCCTTTCAGGTCAGGGAGGAGGTTGTTAGCAGCATGAGTAGATGAGCTACTGCAGTTTTTTCTTCCCTGTCTCCTTGTCTCTCCCCCTCCCTTTTCCTCTCACTCATTCTTCCTCCTTTCTTTTGTCCGTTTTACCACTTTCTCCCTGCTCCAGCATATTCTTCCTCATAGCTGTCTCTCTTTCTGCCTTAGCCAAACCTTTATCAATAACCTGGCAGATCCCAGAGTGACTTTAATATCAGGAATCGTGGATGTAGTCCAGTGATGACGATTGCTCAGGAAATTTACAAAACCCCTCCTCAAATCCTCTTGAGAATGGAACTATCCTAATGAGAAGGAAAATTGCAGCAAGGACCAGCTTGTGTAGCTCAGTTCTCAGGTGCAGGAAGAATTGTGCACTCCCTGCTTCTTTAAATAGAAGATTGCCCTGACCCACCTAGGGTTGTTTAATGGGGGAAGGATTGGATAAAAGGGGGAAAGCAGTGGCAGATTTAATTTTTTATTCCATTGATATGCATCATTATTTTTCACCTCTTGAGCACATGATTGCAAATATTTGCGTATGAGTCTGAGGGTCCCCAACGTAATGTGTATATCAGGACAAAAGTAATTTTTTAAAAATTAAGCTAAGTTGCATCTGTGAAACTTGGAAATCTCAGTGCCTGTGCTGACAAATATCCTGACAAGTAAATACTACACTCATTCAGTATTACATAGTGATTTCATTTGCACAAAACTTCACAATGCTCTGCCACTTCAGTCAAACGTCAGGGGCACTAGGGAAAGGAAGAACGTGTTTATCTCGATCTCCAAAAAGGGATTTAAGGGAGAGAGCAGGCGGTATATTAGACTGTTTTCATTGCCTGTCAGCTGTGGTAAACCTGAGCTGTTTGCAGTGTCTCTAGATAAGCAGCAAGAGCAGCAGAGGCCAGCCTTAGCATGTATGTCTGACTGCATTCATTTGTACTCGTTATGTATCTCAAAATTTCTAAAGGCTATGTAGCATCTTTGGTGGAGCCTTTAACAATTGTGTCTGTGCTAATCACTGGCTTTTATGCAGTGCCCTTAATTCTCAGGTCTGCCAGCCCCAATGAATGCAGTGCTGGATGGGGCTTAAGTTTATACTGAGAGTAGATGAAGATCCTCTTTCCTCTCATATTCAGCTCATCCAATTCTGCGAGTGTGGGCACGCTTCAGATGGTGCCTGTTTTTAATATTTTATGGTACTGCTTCTCCACTTAGACCTGGGGAGCAGCTAGGTGGGGCCTCAGGAGACACCTCTGTTTGAATGGCTCCCATGTTTAGATGGTTATTGATGCTTGTTGGGCAGATAAATTAAAAGTTTGTATCATGTTGTAGAAAAAATATGAGAGGAATAATTTGGGGAATGGAACATGGCAAGCAACTTGTTGTCTAGAAATACGTACGTCAACGTTGAAAACACGGACGAATGAAGCACACCTTTTTCATGAATTAGTATGGGGATGAGAGTGGTTTACCCCAAGTTTTTCTATAGAAGGTTGGTAGGGCAACCTATTGAGGAATAAAACAGTGGTTCTGTCTATGTGGGCTCCTTTCTTTGTCTCCCTAGATGCTGATCAGGTTTTGCGTAACTGTTCAGCATGATCATTTCAGAGTTAGGCAGAATGAGTTTTGTCCTAGCCCAGATTCTGCTTCTTCGGTTGGAGCTTTTGTTCTGAAGTATTCTAAAATCATTAAAACCACTTGAGTCAGCAACGACCCCTATAAATCCAGAGCTATTGTGTGCGCCCTCCTTCTACTGGTGTGTGCTCCAAACATGCGGTCATTGAAGATGAACTGGAGGGTACTGCTCTCTCTTCACCGACTGTTAAGTAGCTATGATTGCTAGCGATTGTTTGTGGTTAGTGAAGCAGGTTTCATTTCTTTGTGTCCTTTCCCTTCCCACCCCCGACCTTCTAAGATAAGGCTGGTCAGAGAGAGCCGTTTAGATACTCTGATGGTCTATCCTATACTTTTTCTCTTTAATTCCCAAATTAAATTAATCTCCTCACATGACAAACATTTGTTTAGCCCAGAAATAATGTTCTTCGTTGGGGTAAGCCCTGGTTAGGTTTCTTTTCCGAATCCATGGGAGAAGAAATGTAGAAATACTGCTGCCTTTTCAGAACAAAGTGTCAGAACCTGAGTAGAGGGAAGACATGCAAAGTTATTAAATTCTTGCTCCTTCCAAGTTTGTCTCCCATTAGTTTGTAAGAATATGGGGTGGAGTGGGCACGTGGCAGAGCCTCTGGTAGTAGCCCAGTTCTGGATGCTCTCTTCCTCTTTGAAAGGAGGGGCAAGGACAACTGAGGAGGGTGTGTTTGATCAGCTAAACAGCTCTTGGTGTGCTTTGGTCCCTTTGCTGGTTCTTCATCGGTCCATTACTAATTTTGGAGATGTGAGATTCTAAGTGGCTGGAGATTACCAAGCACTAGAGACCGTTTCATAGGAAAGAAAATAGTGTTTCTCAGTAGAAAATGGTCCAGCTCTCTCTTTCAGGCAGCAAGTTCTTGGCTCCTGACATAGATTGTGACTATCAGATATTCAGGGTCAGCACAGTGTCTCCTTTTTATTTCTTTTCCCCCTTTTCAATTTTATTTTAATAACTAAAAATACTGCTGATCACACTGAATGACTTCTGGCAGAGAGGCAGTCTGTCCCAGAAGGACCAGTTGTGGGCCATCAGGTTTATGACGTCCATAAAACCGGAGCCAGATCAGAGCCTGGCCTCCCTGAGTGGCAGGGTTTCTGCTTCCACCAGGGTTCCCCACCAGTTCACTGCTTTGGATATTTGTTTTGGTTTGGGTGGGTTTTTTTCTTCTGTTTTATTTCCTGATACATGTGCGAGTGTGCATGTGTGCACACATTTAAAGATATAAATGAAACAGGTATGTAATGTCCTCTGCCTGTTAGAAAGACTAAAGCCATAAAAATAACAAACGGCGTGTATTTGCTAGAATGTCAAAGTTATGAGTTTATTTTGTAATGATGTGCTCCTGCCTTCATGAGGTAAACTGGCCGTGGCGGAGGTGTTATTAGTAATATGGACTCAGTGGAGCAGAAAGCTGAGTGACCGAGAGATCAGTGTATCAGTCAGAGAGAGGGCAAATGGAAAGAGACAGCAGGAGAATGAGAAAAGAGCCGCAGTGCCCGGGCGGAGATTAGAGGCAGGCCGAGAGGAGGCTGGGAGCCCAGTGGTCAGATACTGCCTCCCCGGTCCCTGGGGCTCCTTCAGAGGAGCTGCCGGCATGTTGCTCAGCTCAGGGCTGCCTGCTAAGGCTTGTTCTCAGCACTTCCTTATCAAGGAGAGCAGTAATCGGAGAGCCATTTCCCTTTCCCCATGCTTTTCAGAAGAGTCTCTTCTGCCCTTCCTGGCTGAAGTTAAACGGAACCAAGGCCAGCCAGGTCACACTGGGTGATTACTTTGGTCGCCAACTTCCTCAGCCTTTGGAGGGTCTTCATGTAGGGGCTGACCCAGCATGCAGGGGGACCTCTCAGAGCTCCTAACAAGAAGGGGAACAATGGGAATATATGAGTAGAACTTGCTGGTCTCTCATTTATTAGGTTCTCCCCAGAGAGTGGAAATGAGTAAAGTTAGTGGGGAAGAAATGTTGTGTTGCAGTTATTTTCTAAAGGAGGAGGGAGAGGGAAGAGAAAAGGTAAAATGCTGTAAGCGCTCCGCAACTGTTTAGCGCTCTCCAGGGCTACCCTAGATGACTGGCAATTACTACACACTCAGCAGTTTGCGACCGTCAGTGATCAGGCTGCCCGGCTTCCATCTGCTGGGTCAGAAAACCTCCCTCCCTGAAAGAAATTACTAACCAGTCTTCAAGAGAAAAAGAAACCCTACAATTTCCAAGTTCAAGATTTTTTTCTTCCTTTTTCCTTCTTTAAAGAAAACTTTGTGATCTCCAGTTGCAGGTGCCCTTCCACTTCACAAGGATTAAACTCCAGGGATCCCCGGGGATTGAGGCCCTGACTTCCCTGAAACCTTGGGAGGGAAGGACAGAGGGGGAGAGGCCGGCTTAGGTATAAATCACTGCTCTGCACCCAGCACACAAAGGACTATAGACTCGAGGGTTTATGTCTGTATCATGAGATGTTTCAGGATTTTGCCAGCCTTAGGACTTGTGTGTGGGGACCAGCTTTAAAAATCAAATACAAGGGGAAAAGTAATCCTTTAAAAAAAAAAGAAGAAGAACCCAACCTCACAGCACTTCTTTAACTGAGACTTGTGACTAAAGATTTTCAAAAGTCAAGCACATTACCTCTTTTGTGTATATGCACAGTAACTCTACCAGGCCTGCAGATGATGGGATAGCCACTGTCTCAGGGTCCAGCCTCACCCACTGCTATGGTTTCTACTCAGAGTCCAAGTATGCTGTGCATATCTTTGACAGCCAGGAGAGAGAGAGGGAGAGGCTCGCTAGTTTTTAAATTGCAGCAGTATATGTGATTGTTTAAAAGCCTTTTTTGTTTTCTAAGTTTTCTTTTTAGAACAGAGGTCTAGACAGTCCCTTCAGACAAGTTGCAGAAGCTGGAATCTCTGTCCTGTGGAGAAAAGAACCCATTTTAGTGGGAATTAAAAGATAGACTTTGCCTTTATTTATGTCAAGTCCCATGTCTTTCCTTTTGTTTCTCTAGGTCCTCGGGCGGGAAGTATATACCTCCAATAACCAGCTCGGTGGCATCCAGATCATGCACAACAATGGGGTGACCCACAGCACCGTTTGTGATGACTTTGAGGGGGTGTTCACTGTCCTGCACTGGCTGTCATACATGCCTAAGGTGAGCCCTGCGACCCAGCACTGACAGAGTTGCAGAACCTGGCCTTTCCACTGCAGCTGCTGCCTCATAGTGCAGGAATCATTTATGAAATATTCCTCTGAAAGCTGTTGATTTTTTTTTTTTCTTAGAGCCATCTTTTGCTTTCTGCCTTTAAAATGCCTTCAGATTTCATTGGTTAGGCCCCTTTCTGATGTTTTCTAGCTACAGGAGTTTTCATGGCCTATCTGGGCTCAGATGCCAGCATATTAAAGCTTTCTCCTCATTGTGGGTCTTCTCCTTTGTAATAGCCATCCCTCCCTCTGGGAAGCTTCCCAGAAAGCCTGGGCACACTAAAGTCAAGAATCAGAAGGCACCACTTTGGGCCAGGCTCCTACATGAGACTTGAGACCTGTGCATGTATCTCAGGGTCTGGCACGTAATTGAAATGCTTCTAGCTGATGATTGGGGCTCATGGGTGTAACTCCGTTTGTGGGCCCTGCTGTCTTTGTAATGATTGTTGCCGAGTTGAAGTATAAGACTGTTGTTTACTGATTGCTTGCTCTTTCCCTCCCAATTTCCTTTCAGAGTGTAAACAGTTCAGTTCCTATCCTGAACTCCAAAGATCCTATAGATAGAATCATCGAGTTTGTCCCCACAAAGACCCCATATGATCCTCGATGGATGCTAGCAGGCCGTCCTCACCCAAGTATGTATATGTTTAAGGATTCTGTGGTACCTTGGCCCTCCAGCTTTCAGTTTTTGTTTTATTTTTTTCAATCACAAACCAATTTCTGAACAGTAGCATGTAACAAAGAAAACAGCTACTAAGTACCTGGAAGTGAGAAAAATCTGAAAAATGTATTCCGAAGAAAAAGGTGGACAATTCTTCAAGACCAAATGAAAAATAATGAGATGGGATTTACAAATCAGTCATTGAGTCATGAGCAGTATAGTTACTAATACATTTCTTCTGTTTATTCTGCTATTAAAGCACTTATTACTTAATAGGTTCAAAGACTTTAAAACAGTTAAATATAAGCCATAGAGTCACAGAACTACAGGACCAAAATCTTTGACCATTTAGTTTCTATAAACAGATTAATCGGATCAGTTTTAGAAAAAGTCTTTGAGCCCAGCCGGGTGTGGCTCAGCGGTTGAGCATCGACCTAGTATCCAGGAGATCACAGTTTGATTCCCAGTCAGGGCACATGCCTGGGTTGCGGGTTCGATCCCTAGTCGGGGGCGTGCAGGAGGCAGCTGATCAATGACAACTCTCTCATCATGGATGTTTCTTTCTCTCTCTCCCTCTCCCTTCCTCTCTCTGAAATCAATAAAGATATATTTTTTAAAAAAAAGAAAGAAAAGGTCTTTGAGACCTCTCAGCATAGAGTGTGACACCTTCTCAGCGAGCTGCTGTTGAGCACCCACCCTGTGTAAGCCCTTCTTTTCTTACAATATTGGTAATAGTTTTGGCACTTGCTTTAGTTGTTAATGTAGGATCATTTATTCATGAGGAGACTGTCCAGAACTTTTAATTTTACAAATATATAGAACAAAACAAGCTCTTCCTCCATGTTTATGTAATATATCCCTCTGTCTTGGGGCTGATTTTTATCTAACTTTAAAAACAAAAACAAAAGTAGCTCCATATAAAGCAAATGTGCATTTTCATTTGTTGGTCCATTTGGCTGTTTTCACAAACCATACTTACTAGGAAGCCCCAAATCCCCCTGCTCCATTTTGAATTGATTTTTTCAGGTTGCTCGAGAAAGTGTTTGTTCTTTTTTGCATGTTTATTGTAACTGTTGCAAAGAAAGGCTATATCTTAAAGAAGAATGGAATGCAGGAGATAATTAAATTTGAGTCATTGTGATTTTGTTGAAAGAGAAAGAGGTCTTCATAAGGAAGACTTAATAAACCTTTGTGGGCACCCACTCTAAGCCAGGAAGGACGATAAAGCATTTATCTTATTTGGGCTTGCTACCTCTCAGAGATACAAAGAGATCATCGTTTTAGAAGCTCAGAGAAGTTAAATGATTTGTGCAAGGTCACACAGCTATTACTTAGGAGCTAGGCTTAATCTGAAGCCTAATTATAGATAGTGTAGAAAAATAACCAGAGGAAGGTTGATTTTAGTTTAAATTTTTACCTGTTGTCTTCAGTGCCTTTTCTTATTTATCTTAATAAAACTAAATAGTTTTTCTTACATAGCCAGGAAAATCACCATAGTAATCTCCTCCCTACCTCTCATTTTTATACCATTTTTATGGTAAGAACTATGAGCCTGAGATAAAATCCAGAACTTTTCAGGGAAAATTCAGAACAAGATTCAGTGAGTGCTCTCCTAGGAACTGCGGGATCCATGTTAGCTGGTTTCTAAGTTCTTTGTTTGATCTGAACATGACCTGCTCTTTGAGGGCAGTGAGGCGCCCCCTACAATAGCCATAGCCCCCAGTCGACATAGAAGGCAGGAAGGTTTTTAAAGAAAATATTTCCATTTTGAAATGAATTTTGTAATTCTAAATCATTGTCATTGAAGTATGAACCATAAAATAATCCAAGCAGATGAAGTTAAAATGACAGTATCCTGATGCATTCAGAAATTTGGTTTAGAACCTTCATCAAAAATTGAGTTCTCTTTCATGGGGCAAACAGGTGTGTGCGTGTGTGTGTATGGGCATTATCGTGGCCATTGTTAATGAGATCTACAGAATAAAATGGAATTTGTGATAAACTAAGTTTTCTGGTTTTTGGATAATATTTTTTCATCAACTCCCTAGTAATTCATCCTGCTGTCTATGTGCAGCTAACGCTTGCTCCCAAATCGAGTGACTTCAGATTTTAATTTAGTGGAAACGTTAAAGAAAGCAGATGATTCCCTGTGATAAGTTAAAGCAGATATCTTCTAGGTGAAAAGTTAAAGTCATTTATTAGAGAAGATAGTGCTGTGATATTCTTCAAACTGACGCCCAACACGAGACCAGAATCTAAAAGATCAGCTTTGGGCTCACGATAGAGAGATAATTTTGAAATGGATGATCACATTTTACACTGGGGCCATAGAGGCAAGGAATGTAGAACACAGTAATTACAAGTTTAGTCTTGATAAAACACTCTCCATCCTGTTTAAGTCAGCAGAGGTTAGCTTGCTCGGATCTCTACTTTTAATTGGTTTTGGACTTGGGTTTTTAAGGGGCGGAGGGCCATGCTCAAATGAGAAGAATCACTGAGAAACCAAGAGCTGAGAGGGCACGCTAGGAAACAGTTATTTGCAGAAGCTTTTATGGAGCCCTGGTTAAACATGGATACCTGTGGAACAAAAGGTTTTTTTCTTAAACTAAGATGTTGAGAGTTACGTGTGTTGCCAGTGAAGGAAATTTTATGTGCAAGGGAGGTTAATGACATTAAGTATGTGCATCTTAACCATTGTTTTCACTGTCTGTCAGTATGTGGGTATGGCCCTTTCTTGTGGAGAGACTATTCTTTGTCAGCTATAAATGAAGTATAAGTATATCTTGTTGCTTTTCTATCAGAAAAGCTGAGTCCCTTTTCTTTTTCCCAAATTTGGATCCTCATCTGAGCATTAATACTTATCATTTGGTGGTCTTTAGCTTTCCATTAAAAGAAAATCAGTGGAATCAAACAAAATTGTAAGCTAAATTTTAAAATAGAAACAGACATTTTGAAAACATCTTTAATGACTTGGCTGTCTTTTGACAAATGTTTGTGGTGTTTTGAAAAAAGCCAAGTTATTTATTTAAAAGCAGTGCAAACTCTCTGCTAGCCGAGCCCCATCGTTTAACAATAAATGATGCTTTTGCTGATAAATGAGTCTTTTTATGCAGCCTAGCAAATGAACTAGGAGATGATGTCTGAAGGCAAATGAACATTTAGCTGCCTAATGCTTCCATCTATTACATGGTTAAAAACACAACAAACTCCCCAAAATAGTCCCCCAAACCCAGCTGGCAAATTAAACTTGCCAGTTCCCGTGCATTTGAAGTGGGCTGACTTCTCTTTCTTTTCCTTCTATAGCCCAGAAAGGTCAGTGGTTGAGTGGCTTTTTTGACTATGGGTCTTTCTCAGAAATCATGCAACCTTGGGCACAGACTGTGGTGGTTGGCAGAGCCAGGTAAGAGCTCGTTTGTTCTGGAAGCTCCTTTTCCTCCCAACTAAAAAGAAGAAGGGGCCTCAGTCGATGTGGCTCAGTGGTTAGAGCATCCATCTGAGCACTGGAGGGTTGTGGGTTTGATTCCAGTCAAGGGCACCTACCTGGGTTGCAGGTTCAATCCCCACCCTCAGTCAAGGCACTTGTGGGAGGTAACCAATAGATGTGTCTCTCTCACATGGATGTTTTTTTCTCTCTCTCTCCCCCTTCCCCCCTTCCTTCCACTCTCTCTAATAATCAGTGGTAAAAATATCCTCACTCCTTGGGTGAGGATTAAAAAATTTTAAAAAACAAGGAAGGAAAGGCCTATGACTATATAGGTTCTGACCAGTAATGCTCTCTTTGTCTAAAGTTCCTAAGAATACTGGATTATGGTTATTCCTGAGGCAGCATAACTGGAGGGCTGGTTCCCAGTGTGTCTCTCCAATGATGCGTTTAATCTAAAATCTGGTTTTGACAATATTTCCTTTTTATAATACTGAAAGAAAAGCTGTTTGGGGGTGTAAATAGCCACAGCCCACCAACAGCACCCCTCTTCCCAAAGACCATTTTCTTTCAGAAGTAGGTGGTAAGTGACTCAGTTTCATCTACTTCTCTATGTAACTTGAAAGAAGTTCCTTCTTGGCATCAGGATTATTTAAGTAATAAGGGCACTATACTGGTTTGTCGGCAGATTTGAATTACCAAAAAAGAAAGACGTTTACCTGAAACAGGAGTGAGTAAAATAAGCTGGGATACCTATGTTTTTCAAGTGGGAAATGTAAGTTTCTATCAAATTTTAATACCCACTCTAAGAAGTGCTTCACTCAACAGCAAGCTCTGCACGAAATAATCTGTAGCGCTCGCCATCACGAGCACCTGCCACGGCTGATCTTAATCTCATCTGCACTGCAGAGACACGCTGCCCTAGGGACCCACATCTGGGGCTCACCTTCCTCTCGAGGGCAATCAGTTTTTCTTATCTCAGTGAAAAGTGGCACCTGCTCAAGATTCTCAAACATGCTACATTGGGCTGAGATTTAGATTCTAGCCTTGCAAATAACTCTAGGCTTTGTGGCTCTCTCAGTACAGCAGGTCAGCACGGCTCATGCTGCCAGTGACAAGGAGCCATCACACGGCAAGTCTCACAGACAGGATCTTCCACTGTGACTCTCAATGAGTCAGCCTAGAGTCCGCCCAGACCAAACCCCGCAGGGACTGGCTCCCGCTTTCTCTCACGTCTCAGGGCTTCCACCTAACCGCAGGCGTCTGGGCCCCAGTGAGAATTACTCTCTGTTCCTGGTGAAGTCCCCACTGGGGAGGTGGAGGTAGAGGATGCACTAGAGCGAGCCCTCCTGCCCAGGACCTGTCGGTTTGCTGGGGAGTCCTCACACCGCACTTGGACCAACTTTCCTGAAAATTCACCTCTTATCTCTTCTGCTCTGGTTTTCCTGTCTGTAAAAAACATGACAGATTTTAACCCTCTGAAAGCCAAACCTTTGTTAAGGTCTTTAAGATCCTCCCATGGGAAACAAGTGAATAAATCTTTACATGAATGATTGTCTGTGGGCAAGATCAGTCAGGCTTGGCTTTGGCCAGCTCTGCCATTGTTTATTGCGGCGCTCACTCTGACTTCTTCCTTTCTTTCCATCTGATGAGTTCTGGGCTTCTTGTTCCAAACACATACACATGCTCACAAGTATATAAAACACAAATGGAGCTAGCTTCTTTCAAAAGCAATGGCATTTCAAGAAATAAATATAAATGTATTCTTCTGGGATTGTTACTGTAAGTGCTGCCAAAACTCATCTTTGGTATGTATGTTTGGAATATGTGTGCTATTGGCTGTAAATTGTCTTTTATTATTCCATGGCACCTTGTCCAGGGACACACTATAAAACAAGATGTAGCATCTTCATGTGCTGGCCTGATAAAATTTATATGAAGTATAATAGAAAACAGAAGTTGTTCTGAGCTGTTTTCAAGTTCAATAAATAACTGTAATACTCGGATAAAGATGTTCTTTATTAGGTCACATGGGCCCTAATATATAAGTTATAAGTTACCGATTTAGGGTGGCTTTTGCAATTACAAGTTTCCAGTTGGATTGTTAATCATCGTGAACAGAAATATTTCTAAACCCTCCTGAGTACCTCCTGCCCATTGTCTGGTTGTCTAGAGGGCTTTTGATTCTGATTCTGATGCAGTGCAGGCAGGTGGCAAGGGGGTGGGTGGTCCCCACTCAGGCCCCTGTCAGGTCTCTCGTGATGACAAGAATCCATTTCTAGTATCCAATGTAACAACCAAAGACCATCCTTCATGGAAAAGTTTGTTATGGACATGCTGTGGGGGAATGAGAGACTATAACCCGTCCCAGCCCCAACCCCAAGGAATGCAACTGAGAAAGTGAAGATTGAATTACATTTCTGAGTAAGGACTCACCCTGTGCCTTGCAGTTAAATCCCCCTCTCTCTCTCTCTCTCTCTCTGTCCCGTTCCCTCTTTTCCTCCCTCTCTTTCCCTCCCTCCCTCCCTCCCTCCCTTTCTCTCTCTCTCTCTCTCTCTCTCTCTCTCTCTCTCTCTCTCTCTCTCTCTC